GGAGAGTTTATTTTAATGGATTCTCCAATTGATGATACTGAAGGCAAGCTAGACAAAAGATTTACGTCGGCTGATGAGATGGAAGAAGTGGATATTGGACCTGGCGATAGACCTAGGCCGACGTATATCAGTAAGAAGATAGATCCTGAGTTCAGATTAAAGTTGATAGAATTATTGAAAGAATTCAGAGATTGTTTTGCCTAGGAGTATCACGAGATGCCTGGTCTTGATTGTTCAATTGTAGAGCATCGCTTGCCAATCAAGTCTAGATATCGGCCATTCAAGCAAGCTCCAAGAAGACTCAAGCCTCAGATTATGGAAGATGTGAAAACATAAATTACCAGATTATATGAGGCTAATTTCATACGACAGTGCTGATATGCAGAATGGATATCAAGTGTGGTCCCTATGTACAATAAAAATGGAAATATGAGAGTATGCATAGACTTCAGGGACTTAACAAGGCTACCCCCATGGATGGTTATCCCATGCCAGTTGCCAATATGCTGGTCGATGCTGCAGCTGGTCATAAAGTGATCAGTTTCATGGACGGCAATGTAGGGTACAATCAGATCTTTATGGCAGAGGAGGATATTCACAAAACTACCTTTAGATGCCCTGGTTCTTTGGGATTGTATGAGTGGGTGGTAATGACATTTGGTTTGAAGAATGCCGGTCCAACTTATCAAAGAGCTATGAATTTTATATTCCATAAGTTGATCGGCAAAATAGTTGAGATCTATATTGATGATGTGGTCGTCAAGTCTAAGAGTTACCAAGAACATCTTCAAGATCTCAGAACGACTCTTGAGTGTACAAGGAAATATGGTCTAAAGATGAATCCAAACAAGTGTACATTTGGTGTTTCAGCTGGATGGTTTTTGGGTTTCATGGTCCATGAAAGAGGAATTGAAGTCGGTCAGAAGAGCATGGATGCTATTGATAAAGTCATACCACCAACTAATAAGACCGAGCTTTAATCCTTAATCGGCAAGATTAATTTCATCAGAAGATTCATATCAAATCTATCAGAGAGAATATTGCCGTTCTCGGTATTGTTGAAGTTGAAGCATGATTGTTGGCGGTCCTTAACACAAAACCAACACCGCCAACATTTGCATAAAATCCACCAAAACCAAAGTAGATAGGGTTTATTACTAACAAATTCCATAGTTTTGGTGGATACTCTTGTTTTGCAGGTATATATGGAAATACATTCAAGATGGGCCAAAAAGAGAACAAAATCCAAATGAAATGACAAGCCCATCAAGCAAAACATGCCCAAGCCCATCACCTCCAAGCAAACCAGGCCGAGCACACCACATGGGCCAACTCCAGGCCTAGCCAAGAGCCAACCACGCGAAGGCCACGCCGAGGCGGCCCAGCACAGGCGCGTGCGTGCCCCTGGCGCGGCCACGCCCTGGCTGACGCCCCTCAGGCCCACATCACGTGTGTCGGCACATTAAATAGGATGGCAGTGCGAGGGTGCACTAGCTGATTCAGAGAACCTGGACGCCTACTCAGCCCCCCAACCTGCTATAAAAGGAGGCCCTCACCCCCTCACTCTCACACACAACCTACACACTCAAGCTCACACTTGAGCAAGAAGAAGAGAAGCCTCAAGCCTAGCCTAGCTAGCACTAGAATAAAGAGTGAGTGAGGGCAAGAGGAGGAGAAGGGTGGAATTGGACACCCCTCTTCCTAAGTGTGTGGCTCCCGAAGTCCGCCGAGTAGTTGGAGTGTCGGATCTGTCGGTACCCGCTACCCTTGTACCTCTACGGCTGGATTACCACTTTGGGTAAGAAAGTCGTGATACTCTTCTGGTAATACTTTTCTAAGTGATTTATCATTATCATTATACTTTGTGGGTTCGTTGTCCGTCCTCGTGGTGGAGGTTCTAGTAGAGGACTCCTGATAAAGACGGAAGTTCCTGGCCGACACTAGAACTGTGACCGATAGTGTAGACGTGGTGTCTAGACTAGAAGTTGCCCTCATTTGCCTCATGCTCCATGGTCGAGGGGTAGGCGGGCAGGTGGTGACAGCCCTGTTCGTCCCTTGTATTCCCCCACATTCGGGTACGGCGTAGAGCTAGAAGCCGGCATAGCCCGGCAGACCAGGTTATATCCGGTGCCCGAAGTGAAGCATAACGATAGCGGTATCTAACCTTAGTAAAGCTACCCTAAGATATCCTCGCTACCCCAGCTATCCTTCTCTTGTTCATAGGGTTAACTAGAATTAGAGACTACCTATTCAAACCGTCCTTGTGAAATATACGATACCCTGAATACTTCCGGGTGAAGTGCTACAACGGTATTTCCGTGCCCTTGCGGATAACACTGCTTTCGCTAAGAAACACCAACAAGCATTTCTGGCGCCGTTGCCAGGGACGGTTGTTATAGTTATTCTCTGAGCCTAGTCGACCCGTGAAACTTGAGTTAACCAAAAATACCAAAAACAGTCTTCTTTTATTTTCTTATGGAGCACACAACCATTGCCAATCTGTCCGCTCCAAAGGGCGAGCTCATAGAACCCACACAATCCTCGAAACCAATCATAGCTTCTAGTTTTGAGCTCTGCCCTGGTTTTATAGCCATGGTTCGGGACCAAGCCTTTTCAGGTTTGGATTATGAAAACCCATATCAACACCTACGGGAGTTTGAGCAACTCTGTGCGTGCTTGACCATTGCGGGCATGTCACAAGAAATGTTGCGTTGGAAATTGTTTCCCTTTTCTCTTCATGAGAGAGCAAGACAATGGTACGACCACAACGTAGGAAAGGTAAACGGAGAGTGGAAAGAATTGCGAAGCAAATTCTACCTAGCATTCTTCCCGTTATCTCGAATCACGTGAGTGAGATCTGCGCGTCTAAGGGCTCGATGGTGTGCAGAGCGGACACGGGGTTTATACTGGTTCGGACAGAGCGACGAGTGAGTGAGATCTGCACGTCTAAGGGCTCGATGGTGTGCAGAGCGGACACGGGGTTTATACTGGTTCGGACAGAACGTCCCTACGTCCAGTTCGTGGTGATCGTGTTGCCCTGCACCGGAGTGCTTGTAGTAGGGGATACAAGAGTTGAGAGAGGGAGCGTTCCCAAGTCTCGTGCGTGGTGTTTTGTGTATGTGTGTTCGATTTGGGCGTGAGTGTTAGCCTTGTTGTGCGATGGAGTGAGTGTTAGGCATAAGGGGAGGGGTCGGGTTACATAAGACGTGATGTGGAAAGAAGAAAGAAGAAAACGAAAAATAAGGCTCGGGCCTTGTCTTCCTTGCTTCTCGGAGTGAAAAGTGTCCTTCTCGCTATAGCGGCGTGGAGCGGATGTCGTGTCGGCGCCTCTCCGTCTACTGTTGAGGCATGTCGAGCCATGCTTTGACCCGGTGTCTCGATGACGTTCGTACCAGCGGAGTGGTGCACTGTGATTTGTGTCGATGGAGGGGGTGGTTCGCACAGTGGACAGGTTAGGCAACATAGTGCCGGTTAACCCCATTACTGTGGGACGTGGAGGCGTCGTGGTGAAAAAGTGGCGTCGTGGGCGACGTGATCGTGGTCTTATCGAGGGCGTGGCCACGTCTCCCATCACTGTTTCCGCCTTACCGTGATAGGATCGGTCACTGTTAGCGGGACCCGTTGGACGGCTTGGATGAGAAGAATCCTCCCATCTGCGCCCGAGGCCTTGGGGTCTCGGTAGTGGTGACGTGTGATGATGTCACGGGGGTCGGGCGAGACGGAAACTATCGCCCGAGGGTTCAGTTGTGCCCGAGGGGTTCTGGGCTGGCATAAGCTCGTTCCCCCCTTTCGTGGGCCTTAGTGGGCCTTTTCCATCAGATCCCTTTCGTTGGGCCGTATGGACAGTGGCTGGATATAGTCTTAGCATTCCTCTTAGGGTACCTGGTATATTTGTACCCGACACCATCTACATGCTTAATTTGTCTTTGCCCCTCTAAGTATATTTTATGCTTATAATGTTTATCCATTTGTCTTTTGAAGTAAATACAATTCTAAACCTGCAACATAAGCAGCAACGTAACAAGGTAACATAATGTTTATCCTCTCACAACAAATTAACATAAGCAGCAACATAAGTTAAATTTCAGTGGAAGCAAACAAGGTGTATATGTTATCTCAGCTGAGAAAATTGTTGGGGAGAGAACTATTTGTAGTGATATTTTTTTGTTAGGATGCACCCTATAATTTATGAGGATATATGTGATTTAAGTTTACGAAGACTCTTGAAAACGCTCAACAGGGATAGTTATTTATTGTTGGGAGAGAATTATGTGCCCTTGTTGACATCCTGCACGAGGAGGCTTATGGATGGTCTTTGTGCCGGCTCATCTTTATGAATCGGCACGGATAGTGATTATTTGTGTCAACTTTAGGCCCGGCCCACTGATGGCCCATCGTCAACTACTAGAGCGATATGAATTGGTCAACGCAGAATGAGGAGTTGGTAGCATCAGAGTAAAACTAATAATTAACTGCATGGTTATTTACATCTCAATTATCAGCGTATTCATACATATATACACAGTAAGGTACATGCAAGGCCATATACAAGGAATGTTACTTTAGTTTTGTTTTTATACAAGGAAGGTGAAGGTTAAGATGCAAAAACAGGGACCCTCTCCGTGCTGATGCGACTGTTAAAGCAACTTCACCAACGACACCGAACAGTACTGGCCAACGACTAGTTATACCGGACGTGGATCCATTGTTTTCCCCTTCAATCCAATACCGGACGTACTACACAACAATCCATGCTCCGGATGTCAGCAAAGAGAGTTCAGATGCCTACGGGATGCTCAGGGTTGTCCAGACAAGTGACAGTTAGCTCTATTACAACTGAGTTCAGATGCAACATTGTATATAATGGACCAACACGAGACTACACTCTTATGTCACCGAGCTGATCTATCCAGCTTCCAGAAACCTCTATAACAAGAACTCTTCAAGTTGGATAGATTAATTAATCACAGTTTAGCAAACATGTGACATCAGGAACACCATTACATCAGATAATGTGCCTTGAGATAATATTTGTTGATGTACCTCGACTGCAGACAATAGTAAATACCAAGTTAAATCTAGTGTTGCAGGTTCAGATACATTTAAAGTAATGAGCACTGAAGAATAACTTCATACCTTCACATTAACATCAGGTGTATCCGGGGTTTTCACAGGATAGAATTTGTAAAATTTGATGTTTTCAAATGCCTCTCTTTGCTTAGGGTCCATATCTTCAAGAGCTTTCTTCCTGGCTTCTTCAGCCTGCAGAAAAAGTTTTGGGGAATATTGAATATTGTAAAGCATCAAATCTCTTGGAAACTGATTAAATATTTCAGTTAAATGGACCTGTTTCAGTTTTATTTCCCCTTGTTTAACCTTCTCCTTTAGAAATTTCTGTCAAAGAAACGTGGCAGCAAAATTAGGAAGGGAGTTACTGCTGTAAAACAATGCTCACTTTAGAGTGTATAATTGATCAAGAAGAGATTAGTGACCTCAATTTTTTCCCTCTCATCCTCTGGCAACCCCTCAGCTTTGACTATCTTATCAGCTAAATCCTGCATTGCAACATGATATGATTCAACATGGATGTCCTTTCATAGGTAGCATTGTACATCAGAGTAGAACAACTGAAATTCCTTACAAACCTCGTAAGAATCACATTCCAAGTCAAAATCACAAATTATCTGCAACAAGCAGCACAAGGTAAACATTAATGTATGAACAATTTACAGCTACTTGAAACCAGACCTGGAGAATTAATTAGGATGCACGAGTGCACTTCTGCCAATAGTGTTTGAAATAGAAATACAATAACTACAAAGTGGAAAGCAGGCTAAGCAGATTTTATTGTTGCTTTATTATCAACAGAAGGAAACCTCAAACAACCCACCCATCCACTTGGGTTTTGCACCATCAAATTGTGACAGGAACAACTTAGGTCAAGCATCCAACATACTACAAAACAGGTGACAACATTTAAGACAAAACGGAAGCAATGCGCATGATCAGATACTAGCAATGGAAGATGAGGAGGGGTCCCCACAGCACGAGATTGCCTTATGTAGCAACAGCAATGGCAGCATGTCACCAGTACCGGACAAAAACCATGACCTCATCGACTGATGATCACGTCACAGACTAAAGCAGACTAGATCACAGCAATAATACACTTAAAGGAAGCTTACCGGGGGTTCTAGAGGATATATGACGCTGACAACTGTGCCATCTTCATCTTCAGGGGGATTTAGTGGCATGTAATCTGCAAGATATTAAACAAGGTTCATATGCCGATGAGATTACCCTACAGAGAATGATATCATTAAACAACTAATGCCATATAAATTTAAATCGAGTGATCAACTAGTAGAACAGCTCTAGGATATGGGCACATATCTGAGAGTGGATTGTGCCAAACAGGATTCAGTGAGTGTTGGGTCATTTTGAGTTCTTAGCAATCTTTTCGTGCTTATAATGTCTTAGAATGTGATTGACAATTCCATCCTGGCAGTTCTTAGGCACTAGGCGCAACCCTGCTACATAGCATTACCTGCTGCTACATAGGCACCACTGAGTACTTTCTGAAAATAGCATGACCTGAAAATCTGCACGCTCTAGAGATGCTAACCGTCAAGGTGCAAACAGCACTAAAGGCCAAGCAAATATGCACCAAAGTGCAAAAAATGAAAAGAAGAAATTTATCCCTCAGAAGAAAAAGGAGAATAAAAGAGAGATTCGCTTAGGACAGGATATTATGTGCCATCAAATTACTAGAAAGCAACCAGGATATAATTCAAACTGGTGTTACTAAATATGATGCCATTATGATTTGTAAAACGGAATACCAGTCAACCAAAAAAACAAGTTTAAAAGCCATTGCATGTGTTTGCAGGCATGTTTCTTCAACTGCCACTTCAATGAATTAACAATTTGATTAGGGAAAAGGGCATCATTCCAAGACGAAGAATTGCATTGCAACCATTCAACTAATAGTGGCTGCAGTTCTGCAGAATTATGCACACTTTTGGATGGTTTGGTTTTCATGATCTTGGCATGACACGTGCCAAAGATAGGTACAACAGTGGAACCTCTCTAATGGTAAGGGGTATTCAAAGGATCATAAAGCAAAAAGGGTAAAAAAATAGATATTACTAGAGAAGCATAATACAGGCCTAAAAAAATAAACCCAATTCAGCTTACAGGGCGTGCAGTAGTTGAACTTGTTGGCTCTCTCAGTTCTCATATGCTTCAGCGCAGACCTGTAAATGTATAAACCTGAGATTTAGTAATCGTAACTAGTGGTAATGGAAATATAGCACATCATTGAATGAGAATGAAAATGCCTGGAAACATATAAGCAACAGAAATAAATATGTACCTAAAGCATGAAATTCTGAAAGCATAAATTCATAAAACTCACCTCCGCTGGGTGCAACAGAGAGTGAAGATTTTTGTTTTCAAACGTTCAATCCTGCCAAACCTGTAGGCAAAGCAATAGCAAGGTGAGCAAAATAAGTTACAAAGTAGAGGGAAAAAGCAGGGATATAAAGAATGAAAACAAAAGGCAACAAATATTGCTCGATATAAGTAACGCAACAGTACCGGTCCTCAAGAGGAACATAAGGCACCCATGCCATCTTCATCTTTTTCATTGGTACTATTTCTTCTTCTCCCGTTTGAACCAAATTTATGCCAATCTTATCTGATGGAGGAAAAGGACAGTCAACCTGCAAAATTGAACATGTCAACTGCTAAACAAGACAGACCATCCAGATCATAGGCCTTAAACAAGCATTTGATCAAATTAACAAATATGACAAATATTTGATACTGCATGTTAGGGTAAAAAACATCAGTGAAGAGCAAGACAAGGTCACCAGCCAAATAATTTTTGACAAGTTAACAGGAAATCTTAGAGAGAGAAAACAGAATCATAACTGAACAACAGCAATAGAAGGAAATAAATGCTCCTACTAAGATAATTCTCTTGGTAACATCAACTGACAAAATAAATAGAGTTTCTTACTCCTTTTATTTTCAAAAGCTTGTAGCAACTTTCTAAACTTAAAAGCTGATACATAAATTTTCATCCTGTGCAATTAATAATTCTACATAAAAATCGTAAACAATAATATACTAAAGATGGTATGTTTTTAAGTAATGCAAAAGGTATAAACAGAACTGCTGATTTGTTTATCTGATGTAGACATGAGCTAAAGGTTCAGCTGTACAACTGCAAGACCATTCTCCGCTGTACATTTTTTTCCTACTAACATGTTTCGCTTTGAAACACAAAATGTAAATATAATGGTGTTAGATGCTGAGCCAAGAGAGTGGATGAGAACTTACAGCAACTACAACAGGAACAAGTATGATCTTCAATTCACCATTAACATCCGATAGTTGTGCTGCACGCCAAGAGGAGCCAATTTGACTTGTATGGAATAATATTCAATAGGTGTAAAACTAGTATGGAAATAAGAAGATGGCAGACACTAAAGCCACTTTACATACAATATATAAAGTGATACACAAATACAATTGTTGAATCTCACTAAACCAGTCTAATAGCACTTAAAACAAACATCAGTAAATTTATGGCCAGATAACCCTACTTTGCTACAGATTACGAAATATTACCAACATTATAAAACATGTATCAAGGATCAACGGTAGCAAAATTAACTTTAGAAACAGATTACTGAAATATTATCAACATTACAAAACATGTATCAAGGATCAACTGTAGCAAAATCAACTTTAGAAACAGCTGAGTGCCAAGTATACTTACTTACTTACACTCGGTGCTTCCAAACAAGTAAACCGTCTTCCCATATAGTTCTCCCCCTTCCTCTAGTGTTTTCTGCTCATCAACAACAACCACATATCACTGTATGCTGAAGTTAAACATTCAAAAAGGGGGTAAATCTTACAAGATTAAGTTTGACTATCATACCTCTAAATTTTCGAAGTTCCAGTTGAATTCCTTTATCATATCAATGCTTTCCCGCTGCAGATGACAAGCCAAGTTCTATAAGTTGTTCAAGGCAAGGAAATGCGTACAGCTTAAGCTATATAATATGTCCAAGTGCGCACGACTAACATACACATTGCGAAAAAAAAGGGATGGGAACAAACCTCAGTCCCAATAGGAAAAACAGACCACCACAGATCCTCCTGAACAGAATACAAACCATTAGTCAAAACACACACTAATCAAAATAGCAAGGCCATCATACAAGATCACAATTCTAATCATAATGACAACTTCTGAAAACAGTCATAGCGGTTGCTTCCAATAGGAAGAAACTGCTGTCATAAAACGAAGGAAAAAAAAAGCCTGCAAATAGAACATGGCACCTGTTGTGCAACAATGAATATGTTGAGTCAGCATGCCAGAAACATGTTGCTGACTCATCATCTTCCAATACTACCATAAACCTAGTGCTAATCTGGCATGCTCCTCGACTGACATAGCAATTGCTAGCACCAGACTTGGAAAAAGGTTGACCAGCAGAACGCACACGGGCTTAAAAAATTTTCATCAGTCACGAATTCTCTAATACCACGGGGTAAAGCATTCCAGTTTCCTATTTACATGAGAACAAACTAATAGTCAAACCAAGTGTTAATAACATACTCATATAAACAGTGAGATGCGCATTTGAGCATCACTAGCAGAAGAACGGAACCAACATCCCCCATTTTCTACCAAAAAAAAAAACCCAGCAATGCAAGCACCAATCAAAAGTGAAGCTGCCCGCGAGCTAATCAGTTAAGGACCAACGCTCCCTACTTGGGGATACCAATTATCAAAACGCAAAGGAAGTGTCTCGGTGGCAATCGATTGAAAATTAATTTTTCTCTTAACCAACGTCTATAACCATTAGACATTGATCCAACAGTCCATCCAGACCTGGATCTCCTTTCTCTCTTTCTTCTTCCTGCTTTCATCTTCATGTGCGATACACCAACCACCGACGCCCAACGCGGAGCCCCCCGCCACCACCACCTCCCCTCGGCTTCCGTCAGGGCCAAACACCCCTGCCGCCTCCGCCGCCCACTGGGGTTCCTCCACTGCCCGGCTCCGGCGGCGCCTCCACCACCGGCCGGCGAGCCTCCCTGAGCTCCTTCTAGGCCTGCAAGTCACAGGTAACTTCCCACCCCAGATCCCCTAATTCCTAACCCCAAATCCCATTCATTCATTTTTGTAATAGAGATTTTGGCGATTGATGGATAAACGAGATTTCAATCGATTGATGGGTAACGGAAAACCTAACAACCCCAAGCACGCAACCGAAACAGCAGCCTACTCACCAGATTCCTCTTCCGGGGCATGTCGACCTTGGGCTTGGGCAGCACCTTGACGCGCTACTCCGCCCCAGAGGAGCTGCCTCCTTCGCCGCCGCCTCCGGCTTGCTCGAATCAGTGGCCGCCGTGCGCTACCTACCCCGCGCCCCCCCGCTCTCGGTTGCTAGGGTTGGCGTCTGGATGAGGCGAGGGTATAATCGAGACCTCTCTTATTCGGGCCTTTCGGCGCCGGGGGAACGGGCCACGTCGCCCGAATTGGCCGTCCGTCCGTGCCACAGGCGCGTGCAGCTTTACAGAAAGACCCTCCCTTACAGTAAACGAGGCCGTTTTTTTTTTTTTTTTTTAAACCCTCTGTTGTCCAAAATATTTCAACACCAAGAAGAAAAAATTCGGAAATCGTGGTAAATTTAAGAAAAAAAATACCCGCGCTGTTATCAATCTTTTCGCTTCAGCTTATCAGCCGTATAAATCAGCTGTTGCACGGTATTTTCCTCTCACAATAAATCAGCGGCTAATTCTTTATGTGCACAATTGTTTTTAGTTTGGAGCTACAAAATATTCGTTGGCGCTGCACCACTTGTGTTATATCCCTGATGAAGCACGTGTCACAGCGTGCGTGTGAGCATGTGACTCACTTTTCACCTTTTTATTTAGAACTCCCAACATGTTATACAATAGCACCCATTTAGGTCATGTTTTGATCCATTAACACTAAAATTAATAGCTAAACCACTTAGGCCTAGTCGAGCCCCCAAGTGTGAGTGACTTGGGTGAGAACATATCCTCTCGGCTCGATTTCTAGGCGCTAAGGCCTTCTTCCAAAGTGGGCCTTCTAAGTCCCATCAAAACATTCGTTGATGGGCGAAGGGTGCGTACGAGTGCACCCGGTCGATGTAGGCCAGAGCCAGAAGATTGATTAGACTGTTATGGCTCTAATTTGGATGGACTAGCGACTAGGACATAGGCCCAAAGCAACTTATTGGCGAGTATGCCCAAAGCAACTTATATATATATATATTAGCAGCAAGAACCTACAAGCAGTCGAACCGACTGCAAATGTACATTGGAGAGTGCATGTAAGACAGGACACTGGTTTACATGTAGAGCGTAGGAGCATACATGTTGTACTATAGAGGCAGGGTTGGATCATCAGCCAAAGCATGCCTAGCTAGTCCAAGTGTCATCCGGAGAAGCCGCGCAACTCTACCTCGGCAACCATTTGGCGCGGTTTGGATTTATCTCTCCTACCCATAGAAGGCCCACCATGTAGTGGGCCCTTGCAAAAGCTTATGTAAACATTTTCAGTTTTTCTAAATAAAAGTGTGCCAGTTCTACGAGTAGGCAAGAATTGTTCAACGGGATTTCTAAATATCTTCTACGAGATTCTTGTTTATGTTTTGTTCCACTATTTTATGGTCCAGATGTTGTTAAGATTTGTGGTCACCTAAATAACAATTTGTGCTTTCTGCATTTGTTTTCTAGAAGTGGAAGATAACTCCCATAAAAATCTTTCAATACCTGTGTCATGTGATTTACATGTACTATTTTTTTATTTGTGCTTTGTTGTACCATGTGACGTGGCAACTTCTCATTTGTTGAAAAGTGGAAGATAACAGAAAGAAAAATCTTTCACAAGATGTGTATGTGCAAACATAATAATAATAGCTTGTTTTGAAAGTTTTCTAGCTTCATGGAAATGTTAACGAGTCTATATGAAAAAGAAATCGTGTTATGAACAAATAGAAATGGTTATGATTACCAAGCAAAAAACGTTTCAATCAAACAAGGAAAAGTTCTAAGCAAAGAAAAACATTCCTGGTATGGGAAATAATGTTTAGAAATGGGTGAAATGGTGTTTTTTAATTTTTTTTTCTACGTTCTCACCTAGGTTCAAGAACTCTTAAAGTAATATAATACCGGGATCATTCAACTTTCAAAAACTGTTCATTCCAAATTCACTCTAGTTCCGGTCATGACCTGGCGGCCCGTCGTAGATGTAAGCTCTCAAAAAACAGAAAGCAAGCCGTCAGGATCTACTACAACAAACATCCTCCCCTCACGGTTAATTAATTTTGATGTTTTCTTTATTAAGAAAACTGAGAAACACACGATAATATAAAGCCAAATTGCACTCGTAAACACAAAGCATGCAACACGGTCCAGATGCAGCTCGCTCCGGCTCCGGTATCCAATTATCGTAGCACATGCACACATGCACACAGCCTCTTTTTTTGAGGGAAATGCACACAGCCAATTAATCAACGGAATTTCTATTTATCTTCTAGCAGATTATGTTGTGCGTTTTCATCCACTTTCTGTACGGTGCTGATTGTTTCAAGATTAATTCGTGATGCCAATTTCTCTTCTGTGTGTGTTGTCTCCGTGTCGCTGTTGGTTCGAATTAATTATCCCGCTGCTTTTGTTCTTTCTCGAAATTATTCCCCGGCGTCACTTTCCTTTGTCTCATGTTGGAGTCTTCGCTGGGGTAGTCGCCCGTTGCTGGCGCCGGTGCCGGAGGCGTTGGGGGCGGCCGCGCCGGTCTCCCGTATCCGGCTGCTCCTCTCCGATCCGCTCTTGGGAAACTTTGCTCTCGACCTCTTCTTCGCGCGTAGTTGTCCTGCTCGTCGTGCGTGCTCTGTCCTCGTTCGCCGATGTCCTTGTCTCGCTGTTCGTCCTCTCGTGCTGCGGCCGTCGCTCGCGCTTCTTCGCTTTGTGTCGACACGAAAAGCTCGCGCCGTACGTCTTCAGAGGCCTCGCTGGGATCCACGGGGAGCACCGAGGCTGGTAGATCCCTAGACCTCGGGTCGCCTTGGGCGGATCGGGTTGCCGGCGTGCCAGTCAATTTGACCCTGCAATTGACAAGGAGACGAACGAGTCAGTAACACAAGGTGGAACGTGTCGGTCTTGTTACCAGACAGTTCCAGTGTACGGCTCCAGGAGCCAGTGATGGAGGCAATCGACTAGAGAGTCGATGCCTTAGCATGAGAGCACAGATAGAATGTAAAGAGTAAACTGAAACAGCTATTCAGATAGGCATGTAAAGCGACAGTTCATTAGTCGATTGAGTTTAGTCGATACGAGTAAATGGTAGAATATGTGCATGTTCTAGATTAACCACCGAGAGAGCTCGCATTTCTACTGAAGCTGGTCTAAAAGGCCGGCGGCTTCAGCAAGCCTACACAAACCTACCCAAATCTGAGGGCACCTGATCTCAAAGGCCGGCGGGCGCCAACGAACCTGAATAAATCTGCTAGCTCTACCAACAATTAAACAGATTAGCTATTCCTAAATCTAAGATCGAGGCAAAGCTGGTCCAACGGCCAAGCGGCTTCACACCAACCCTAAACCCATTCGCAACTAAATAGACGCATGTACAAACGCTACGAGTGAAAGCACGACCGTATCGGCTAATTAGCCGATAAGGGGTTCATAGGACACGTTCGGGGCTACCTGTCATAACCGTAGTTAGATCTAGGCGTCAAAGCGAGTCTGGTCTTCGAGGCCGGCGGACTCACAGTGATCCTAGAACAACCACAGGTAAGTCCAGATCTAACGCAAAGCTGGTCTAGAACGGCCCGCGGCTTTACGTCACCCTGGAGCATACCCTTGCTATGTGAGCGTCTCCAAGCACGTGCATACCTCAGCATCGAGATAGAGCTGTTCCAACGGCCAAGCGGCTCTGAAACGATCCCTCAACGCACCAGTGGGTGGATAAGCCTCTCTCGCGCGCGCTATGGCGCTCATTACCGAGGGGTTTTTAGCCGATTTTAGCAGGAAGGCGACCATCTTGATTGATTTTAGCGGTTTAGGCATGCAAGACAATCGAATTCGTAAAGATCTAAGGCCAAAAGCTAACGGTAGTGACCGGCGACGTGATGATGCTATAACAGATTGATCATGATAAGCAAGCAACATCGGTAACTTAATGAATCTACTAGGACGCCACGCCTAATAGAGCCGATAACTAGCTCACACCTAGATGCAAGCCATTGATGGTACTTACGTGCAAGCCAGAGGTCGGTCGACGCTGATGCAGCCCTACTTGACCGGAGGTGACGCTAGGGTATCTACTTCTACTCCTACTCCTAAAGGGGGTTTTTTGGCCGGAGCCGGAAGGGTTTGTTGTTGTATTGATCATGGGATTCTTTTTACAATGGCCGGGGGTTTATATTTATACCCGAGGCTTGACACGACTCCAAGTCGAATACGACTTGCTCTAGATTGCCATATTGGCGCACGACAATTGCCTAATTTATTAGATAACTTGGGCCCTAGTCATTCCCTTTCTGCAGGGTCCCGCATCCTTCACGCGTTCTGGTCGCCATCATAGATCTTCTGTTGATGTCATCAATCCGTGGCTTCCATTCTTCAATTAGCCGATGGGTGTGAAATCAGCTGTTTCCGTGTCTTCTGCCTTGCGGATCCTGAGCCGGGCCCATTACCAAATTCTGGTGTCAACACATGCCCCCTGATGGCGGTCCTTATTGCATAACTTATACCACCAACTATTACACAAAACACACATCAAACTTAGTAGATAGGGCTTTGTGCTAACGATTTCCACAAGTTTTGTTGTTTCACTTGTTTTGCAGGGACAAACATGAAAACATACCTAATTGGGCCAAAAGAGAAGTAAAATATAAAGAACTTATCATTCTTCATTTTGGTCCAAGCAAAGCAAAGAGAGAAAAAGGCCAAACCTGAACCCAATCAGCCCAACTGCAACTGCAGGAGTGCACGTCACAGGCCCACTCTACAAGATGGAAACAAAGTACACAACTGAGATGGACTCAAGTGGGCCCAGGGGGGCGGGGGCGCCCATGGCACGGGCGCTCCAGTGGTGCCTCGCCTCGGTCCTAACCTTGTCCAGGTGCTCTGTACCAGCGTCCTCAAGTCGGTCACTGGCTGCGTCGGTGCAATAAATGCACTAGGAGGTGGTTTGCTGGCATAAAGAGGGAATATTCCATGGAATACACCTCCCCTCTTCACCTATATAAGGAGGCCCCCTCCTCCTCATTTCCACACAC